TTTACTATTTAAAAAAATTTATGTTCATAAGTGTTTTGCCTGAATGTAACTGTACCTGTGTCATACAGTGCCCATGGAGGTCAGAAGAGGGCATCAGATCCCCTGGAACTGGAGTTATAGATGGTTGTTAGCTGTCATGTAGGTGCTGGAAAATGAACTCAGATGCTCTCTCTGCAAGAGCAGCCCCACTGAGTCTTAACCACTGAACCAGCTCTCCAGCCCCACTAAAACATTTCTTCTGAGGAGATTAAATAATGAAGTAATTTCACTGGGGAACAATATTATGTTATCTGCCAGGCATGGTGGCTCACGCCTTTAATCCCAGCACTTGGGAGGAAGAGGCAGGTAGATCTCTGTGAGTTCAAGGCCAGCCTGGTCAACATAGTGAGTTCCAGGACAGCTGGCTACAGAGAGACCCTGTCTCAAAAAGACCGGAAAAAAAAAAAAGAGAAAGTGAGTTGAGCACCAGCATGCCTTCTCTCTCTCTCTCTCTCTCTCTCTCTCTCTCTCTCTCTCTCTCTCTCTCTCCTCTCCCTCTCTCCTCCCTCCTCCCTCCCTCCCTCTGCTTCCTGCCTGCGGATGCAATGTGAGCAGCTGCCTCATGCTCTTGCTGCCTTTCCCGACTTCTTCCCCACCATGATGGACTGTACCCACAAACTGAGCCAAGTAAACCCTTTTAAAATATTTTATTTATTATTATTTTTATGTGTATGAGTGTATTGCATGTGCGTAAGTGCACCTGTATGCATTGCCCAGGGATGTCAGAAGAGGGCATCAGATTCCCCTGAAACTGGAGCTATGGATGGGTTTCAGCCATCATGTACATGCTGGGATTTGAACCAGGGTCCTCTGCAGGAACAGCCAGTGCTCCAACTGCTGAGCCACCTCTCCAGCCCCTACCCTTCCTTCTTTAGGGGCTTTCGTGAGGTATTTTGTCACAGCAACAAGACAGGTAGCCAGGGCACTGCCTGAGAGTCCTTCAGAAAAACTCAAGAAGCAGTTAACTTCTGCTGCATGAAACCCACACATTTTATGAATGAAAACCACACACACACTTATTTCTCACAATTCTGTGGCTCATCTACACTAGCTCACTTTGGTCATCTTGGCCCCATGTCTTTTGCCTGTACACAGTGTTGGGGTCATCCCAGATGAACCCCATATTAAGCGCATGCTCTGCCACTGAGCTACAACCCCTGTCTCACATTTGCACAGTTCTTAGTGTTTGGTCAGCTTGACTGTAGCTGGATACAGTCTGTCTAGAGATGGACAGGCTGGTTGATCTTGGGGGAGGGGCTCACTAGGGTAACTTATTTCTACCACACATGGACCCTTATTCTCCAGGAGACTGCGTGTGGGAGCACACACCCCTTTTCCGTTGATGCTCTCATAGCATCAAGCTATGAGAATAGAAGGGCTGGAGAGTTGGCTCAGTGATTAAGATCATGTACTGTTCTTGTAGATGATTTGATTCCCAAATTTGACTCCCAGACCCATGTTACGTGGCTCACAACTGCCTGTAACCCCAGCTCCAGAGGATCTAATGTCTTCTAGCCTCCATGGGCACCTGCACTCATGTGCACAACCCCCACCCTATATACATAATTTTAAAAAATTGGGGGCTGGAGAGATGGCTCAGTGGTTAAGAGGACTGTCTGCTCTTGCAGAGGACCTGGGTTCAGCTCCCAGCACCTACATGGTGGATAACAACCACCTGTAACTCCAGTTCTAGGGGATCCTATGCCCTATTCTGGGCATTGCACACATGATTTCATTTACATACACGTAGGAAACACATGTGCAGATAAAATAAAAAAACAAATTTTAAGAATTGGCTCCATAGAGCAGAAGGTGATAAAGTCTCTAGGCAAAGCCGTCACCAGATTTTCACCATGTCACAGTATTTATTGTTTGTCAAAGCAAGTTACAAAGGCAAGACTGTATTTGAGGGGTGGACATGCAAGTTTCACCTCTTTTTTATTTTGGAAAAAGGTGTGTGTGTGTGTGTGTGTGTGTGTGTGTACCACATGCGTGCAAGTCCCTGCGGGGTCCAGAAGAGGATCCCATGGAACTGGAGTTTCAGGCTGTTGGGAGCTGCCTTATGTGGGTGCTAGAAAGTAAATCTGGGTCCTCTGCAAGAGCAACAAGTGCTCTTAACCATCGAAGCATCTCTCCAGCCCCCTAGACGCCACTTAACGATAGGCAAAGTTTCAAAGTCACGTGGTTAAGAGGTATTTATGATCATTTTCTCCAAACTATTGTATAGATTATTATATAGATTGTTCCTTATGTTTGGCACTAAGTAATCTAGAATGTGTGTTACAAGAATTCAGAGGTAATGTCTACTCAAATGACGTCTGTGTCTGGCCCCTCCTACCTCCTGTGTGGGAAACGTAAAAGAATCATACTGTCTTTTCTATCAAAGGGTTGAATAAGACAAAACCTCACTGAAAAAAAAAACTGTAAAGAAACCACGTGGTGGAAATTCAGATTCCTCCAGGACCAGCACTTGTTGAAATTACAGTGTGTGAGTGTGTGTTCAAGGTTGCACTCGGTGCTCAACATAACATTCTCTTATCAACCCTGTCGCTTTAAAGCAGCCAATCTCCTAAGACAGTGAGTCTGCGCTCTGATACTCAGATGAGGCGCAGGACCTCTTTGCACTGGGAGTAAAAGGCCAGTGAGACCCCCACCCCCACCCCCACCCCCGGTGTGCTTGCTTGGGCACAGCTCTGCACCCTGCTGCAGAAGTAAAACTTTTTGACTTGCTGGAATACTTTGGACTGGTCATTTTCTCAAGACCCCAGACCCATCTGGCACGTCTGCTTCTCCACTTCCTGCAGCTGCTGGATCTCTGAGCTGGGCTGAAACCTTTTCTGGCGAAATGATAACGATGGTGCTTTTCTATCTGAGCACCGTAGCTCACACAGTCGTGTGTGTGTGTGTGTGTGTGTGTGTGTGTGTGTGTGTCCCCGTGCCCCCCCCTCTCCTGTCCCTACTCACAGTTAAGAAAAAGGGGACCCTTTTGTCCACTGAAGCCTGGGCTAGCGGGCACCTCCTTGTGCTGGCGCCTGCCGCTTGGCACCCTCTAGTGGCCTCTTGTTGCATAGCGCTACTCAAGGTGTGGAACTTAACCAAGTAAATGATTGAAAAGTTCATAATATCGCAAACCCTCCGTCCTAGTTACTTTCCATTGCTGTGATCAAACACTGACCAAAACCAACGTGGGGAGGACAGGGTTTATTGGACTGACATCTCACAGTCCATCATCGAGGGAAAACAAGGCGGGACTCAGAGCGGGAACCGGGGCACAGGCCACGAGGAACGAGGCTCACTGGCTTGCTCCTCTGGCCCATGCTCAGCCTGCTTTCTTCTACAACCCAGGCCCACCTGCCCAGGGGTGGCACCACCCACAGCGGGCTGGGCACCCCCCACATCACTCAGCAATCAAGAAAATGCCCCACAGACATGGCCACAGGCCAGTCCAATGGAGGAAAATTCCTTACTTGAAGTCCCTCCTACCCAGGTGTGTCAAGTTGACAACTTAAGCATCCAGCACAATAAATAAATAACAATATAAAACAGTACAACTTAAAAAGCCCCACAGTCCTTAAAAATTCAAACACTTTAAACGTTCAAAGTTTCTTTAAAAAGTCTCTTAACCGTGGGCTCCTGTGAAGTTCAAAACAATACTGTCTTATTTCAAAAGGAAAGGATAGGGCACACTTAAGCAAAACCAAAGTCCAGCAAAATTGCTCAAGGCTGGACATCTGCGACTCACTCACAATCTCCTGGGCTCCAAGGGGCTTGGGCAGCTCCACGTCTTTGGCTCTGACATCCACAGCACACACAGCTCGTCTCAGTGGCTCAGGCCAGCTCCACTCCACACATGGCACTGCCCTTGGCGGTCATCCCATGATCCTGGCATCTCCAGTACTCTGGGGTGTCCACTGCAACTGAGGCCGCACCTTCACCAATGGGCTCTCCTGGTCTCTCAGGGTGTAAAAGCCTTAGTTGCTCTCTAGGACCCCTTCATGCCTCCAAAACCAGTACCATGTAGGAGACTCTTACACATTACCAAGTCCTGCTTTCAGCTTGAGATGGAGCCTCAGGGATCCTCTGGACCACAGCTTCTGTGTGCTGACCCTGAGGAAACACTTCCCAGGAGACTTCACGTCAGCGATGCTGGTCTTCTGTTACTTACAGCTGATTTTCAGCCCCAGCTAAAACAGCATCAACTATCTCAGTAAAGTACAAAAGGTTTCATTTCCAAACACTTTTCAACATAAACAGCCCTGGAAAGAGTCTCTGTTTCCATTTGAAGCTTCACAAGCCAGGCCCCCACTGTCTACATCTCTTTTGGCATTATCTTCCAGGTTCCTACAGAACTGAGTTCCAAGCTCTCTTCCAGTCCAAAGCTTCAAAGACTTTTACAACCCTCCCAAGCACAGTCAGGTCCGTCATAGTAATACCCGTGATCCTGATGCCAACTTCTGTCCTAATCTGTTTCTATTGATGTAATAAAAACACTGACCAAAACCAACCTGGGGAGGAAAGGGTTTGTTTCACCTCCCATCTCGCTTGATGCATCCAGCAATCATTGCCCCACGTGCTCTACCTTCCCTGTGACTATGTGGCTGCAGCTGTTTATTAATCAGTGTGGAACTGCTGCACAATATCTTGTCCCAGCTGCTTGGTGAATGAAAGAACAGGGACTGGGCTGGAGCTCAGTGGCAGAGCACTTGCCTGTTAGGCACATGGCCCACAGTTCCATCTCCAGCACTGCACGTAATGTAGAAAAGCTGGCCAGATAAAAACACTTCCAAGCTCCATTTCAAAACAGTTCTGTCAGCTAGGCACGTGTATACATAAATTTTGTGTGTGTGTGTGTGGGTGTGTGTGTGTGTGTGCGCGCGCACACATGCACTTGTGTCACAGTGTGCATGTGGAGATCAAGGACAACTTGCAGGACTTGGTTCCCTCCTTCCATCATATAGATTCTGGAGTTTGAACTCAGGTCATCAGACTTGGCAGCAAGTGCTTTTACCCACTGAACCATCTCACTGGCCCACAACAAAGGACCATTTAGACGTTGTAGCTGATGAGTCCTTTTCTGTTTTTCTGTGTCTTGGACCAGAGAGGAAAACGATACAAAGGCAATGTATAGGAAAGACCATATGGTTGTGTGTCACCGCGAGTGAGGACGGAGCTCTTGTCACTGAATAAAAGTGGTGGAGTTGGACAAGGAGAGAAAGTCCCCAGGCTTGATAAGTTCGTTCAGGGTCTGGTAGGTCCCCGCCACGAAGCCCACGAAGCCCAGGATGCTGATGAGGGCGTCCTTGAGGATGGTGAGGGGGCTCATGCCTTCCGAGTAGAAGGTGGTGATCTCCAGCAGGGGCGGGATGATGAGGGCCAGGGCACTGCTGCTCACGGAGCCCACCAGGGAGATAACCAGGTCCAGGCGGGGGATGAGGATGGCCAGCATGCCTGCGAGAGATGATGGGGGACAGATGGAGAATCCCAGGCTTAGCCAAGCCTTTGACGATAGTTATTAAAACACCTTTAAAAGCAAACCAGTTTTTTCTCAGAAATTCTGTTTCAAAAGTAAATGCTGAGGGTGAGGGGTGTAGCCCAGTTGGCAGGGTGTTTGCCCAGCATGCGGGAAGCCCTGGGTTCCATCTCCAGCACTGAATAACCTGGGCATGGTGGTTCACACCTGTAACTCCAGCACGTGGGAAGTGGAGAACTCAAGGTCGTCTTTGGCTACACAGAGATTTCAAGGCCAAGCTGTGCTAGGCAAGACCGTGCCTCAAAAAGGAATGAAAAAAAAGGTCAAAGTCTCTTTAATGCTCCACCTCTCTTAGGGACCACGCATTAGAAACCCACTGCATCTCCTTCCCAACAGTCATATCGCTGCATTGTTGGGAGGAAAAGCTTTTTCTTTATGCACTTCAGTGCTTAGGGGTCGATAACTTAATTGATAATGGGGAGATTAACAAGAGAAAAAAAACAAAGTTCATTTGCGAGCTCTGGTGACCCACAGAGCAGTGGCTTCCAGAACAGGCAAACTTAGGGTCTGTCTCTCTTCCCGTAATAGAGTGGGCTTGCTACATGTGCACAAGGTCCCTGGTCCAATCTCCAGTATCCACCTCTCCCTCTCCCATAAATAAAAATGAAGCAGAAGGTTTTCCAGTTTTGGATGGTTTGCTCCTTCCAAGAACAGCCTCCTACTGGGTCGCAGAGGGGTCAGCAGAGCGCATGCTTTCAGAGTGTCCCATTTAGACAGCAAGAGAAGTTAGATTACGCTGCACTGCAGTTCAAACGCCGACAGCCTCAAGTGGTCTTTTTGTCTTTTGTTTTCTTGAGACAGCTGTAGCCTCAGCTGGCCTGGAACTCGCTATGTAGACCAGGCTGGCTTCCACATAACAGAGATCCGCCTGCCTCTGCCTCCTGAGAGCTGGGATTAAAGGTGTGGGCCACCTCGCTCAGGGCCTCTATCAAATTTTCTTTATACATATATTTTCTGTTCTTTGACAGTTTCATATACGTATATAATGTATTTTGAGCATACCCCCATTACTCTCTAGTCCCCTTCGCACTCTCTGGACTTCTAACAAGTCCCCTTCCCACCTTTGTGTTGCTCACTCACTGAGCTTTGTTAGGGTTTCCCACACGAGCATGGGTGCGGGGCTTATTTTTAATGTTGGCCCAAATTTATACAGCATCACGAAGAGCAAACAGTACCTGTTGCCAGAGTATTCTTCTTCCCACCCACCCCCTCAACCCCCAATGGCAGCCTTGAGGTGGAACGCTGCTAGCTCCAGGCTTTCAAGACTTGGGCTCAAATCCCATTTTATTGTTATATCATTGTATTTATTTTGTGTATGTATATATGTGTCTGTGTGTCACCGCATGCACATGGAGGTCAGAGGACAACTTGTGGGCATTAGTTCTCTCCTTCTACTATGTGGGTTCCAGAGTTCCAACTCCGGTTGTCAGGTTTGGCAGCAAGTGCCCTTACCCACTGAGCCATGATACCAGCCCCTTGTCGTCATCATCATCATCATCATCATCATCATCATCGTCATCATTATCATTGAGACAATGCTTCACGCAACTATGCAGCCAAGGGTGACAAGACTTCTGATCCCCCTGCCTCCACCTTTGGAATGCTGGGATTACAGGTGCACTACCACGTCCTGTTTATGTAATGCTGGGGACTCAACACAGAGCTTCCTACATTCCAGGAAGGCATTCTGCCAACTGAGCAACATCCCAGTCCCAAATCCCACTTCAGACACTCACTGGTCAGTTATTTGTCAGTCTTTGTGAGTGTGCTCATGGGGAATGAATAAAATGCTACGAAATACTGACTTCCTAGGAGGCATGGAGCACAGTGCCTGGCAAATGGTGAGTGTTGACTTGAACACCAGTTATGATCATTTGATATGCTAGATCTCAATAAATCTGTCCTTTGGCTGGGCATCAGTGAGTCTAATTAGAATTTCTAATTCTTACTTAAGAATGCCTAAGTGGGCTGGAGAGATGGCTTAGTGGTTAAGAGCACTGGCTGCTCTTGCAGAGGCCCTGGGTTTGAATCCCAGCACCTACATGGTGGCTCACAACCATCTTTAACTCTGGTCCCTCTTCTGTCCTCCACGGGCATTGCACAACACTGGTGCACTTACATACATGTGGGCAATACACTCATACACATAAAATAAAAATAATTAAAAATAAAAAAATGACCTAAGTGAGTTAATAACAGCCAAAATGTTTTGGAACAATCCCTAAAGTACAGTAAAAGGTCAATAAATGCTGGTTGTCATGACTACAGTGTGATTGATTCCTAGTGGCTCTCAGAAAATGATGAGCAGGCTCCCTGAGCCCTGCTCCTTACTCACACGTAAGGCAGACCATGGCAAGGCGGGTGGACAAGTCCACGGACAGTGTCCAGTGCTTGGACACCCGGGAGACAGCGACAGGGATGATGATTTCCGCGGGGACGTAGAATTGCAGGGCATAGGTGCATAGGATACCCATGATGTAGAGCACTTTGACCAACTGGTACAGCCTGCAAGACATAGTGATGCTCTCCACAGTCCAGTCTCAGACCCCCTCTCCTGGGAACATCAGTCTTTGACTTTGGGACAGTCCCTCTTTCCTTGTTTGAAAATGATGATGGCACCGAGCCTTCTCAGAAGGGAGAGGAAGTACCACCAGAGCACGCAGGGAGAAGAAAGTGAAACACCAAGAATTCCAGTGCAAAGTGGGAAGGGCCATCTGTACAGGATGTGCATGCATGGCACATTTACAGACTGCTCACAGGGGATGCTCAGGCTAGGTCTAAGGACAGACAGGCTGAGGCCAGATGCTTTGCTTGGGAGAAAGACTTAGCAGATAAGTGGCCAAGACCCCAAAGCCTGGGTCTAAAGGCCCTTGTGATTAAAGTCTGCAGGAATTTTCCATATCCTCAAGGTGCTCAGCACACCAGGAGCCCTCAACAAGTGTGCAAATTGGTTGGGAGAAATGCAGAATCCCAAATAATTGAGAGGGAAAGACATTACAGTGAGGTATGTGGAGGCTCCGGGTGAAGGAGGGGAAGAAAGGAGACAGGATCACCAGTAGGCTTGAAGCTGGGGGCAGAAGAGGTGAAGCCTCAGAGAGACTAAGCTTATGTGTGTGCACATGCATGCCACGTGTGTGTGTGTGTGTGTGTGTGTGTGTGTGTGTGTGTGTGTAGACCATTTAATGGGTCCAGGTTTTTAAAAAAATATATTTTTTTTTAAATTTTATGTGTATGTGTATATTGCCTGCATGTAGGTAAGTGCACCCGTGCACGTAGGTAAGTATACCCTCCATGTAGGTTAGAACACCATGCAATACCCTCAGAGGGCATAAAAAGGCTGTCAGATCCCCTGGGACTGGAGTTACAGACAGTTGTTAGCTGCCGTGTGGGTGCTGAGAATCAAACCCGGGTCTTCTGCAAGAACAACCAGTGTTCTTGACCGCTGAGCCATCTCTCCAGCCCAGATCCAGGTTTTTAACTTTGTAACAAAGGTTGTCATTTACAAAGTTCACCCTTGAGAACCTTGCAACTGAGTTACACAAATACTGCAAAAACCCTCATGATCTTATCCTTGGTCACAGTGCCACAGGATGGACACCCCTGCAGGTTTGAGTAAAAGCTAGCTTCTATATTTCTGTGTTTCTTTTTAAAGAATTAAAAAATGACATTTTACTTGGAGTATATGTGTGGGCATATGTGCCACAGTGTGCCCATGAAAGGCAGAGGACAACTTGCGGGAGTTGGTTCTTTCCTTTCACCATGTGGGTGCTGGGGATCAAACTCAGGTCTTCTAGCACCACAGCAAGTGCCTTTACCCATCAGGCCATCCATAGGCCCCTTTCTGTTCCTTATTTACAGCAGCCCTGCTTCTTGGCACACACCCTCTATCTCATTTCTGTCAGTCTACACCTTACAGAGCTTTTGAAATTCTCACCTTTCGAGCAGATACAAGCCAGGCGCTTTGTGACATGGCTCAGCTTAGCGCTCATGACAACTGCGCTTTTCGGCTGAGGGAACTGAGGTTTCGGGAGGTGACATGGACTATCCCGGAGCACACGTTACCGGGTGGTACAACTGAACCTGGGTCTGGTTCGACTTCCCCGCTGTCCCACACTGACACCTTCCTTCAGACATCCCCAGTGGGTCTGCGGCTCTGGTTAGCTTCCTTCTTGGGTGTGTAATGATCCCTATGCACACGTTCTCTACTGCTCACCCACGGCCTGGGTCTCAGAGCTACAGCAGTACTGGCAATTGAAGGATGGAGTCCTCACCCCATGTGTCTAGAACTTCCAGTAACGGACAGGTTGTGACTGGTTGACAAAGAGTTTATCATGTTGGGAAAGAGCCACATGTGGGCAGATTAGTGCTTAAAAAGACAGTGTCACCTGATACAATTTATGACAGGCTCCCACATGGCAGAAAGTGTGCAATGTATTGTGAGTTTGTACACTATGAAGCACAGCCCGGTGGATGTCTGTGGCACCTCACTCATCCACCGATCGAGTACATTTGGATATAAAACCTTAGTGGATTCCACTGATTCTCCCTATTGGCTTGTGTCACACTTGTGTGTGTATATGTTGGGTGTATAGGTATATGTTCATGTATGTACTGTGTGTACATATACATATGGAGGCCAGAGGTTGACACTGAGTGGCTTCCTCAGTCACTAACTTATTTTTTAAAATTTTTATTTATTATTTTTATTTTATGTGTATAAGTGTTATGCCTGCATGTAGGTAAGTGCACCCGTGTCGTGCAAAGGATGCCTGCGGAGGACAAAAGAGGCTGGCAGAGCCCCTGGAACTGGAGTTACGGACAGTTGTTAGCTGCTATGACTCAGTAATTCAGCTAGATTAGGCTAGCCCGTGAGCCCCAGGACTCTCCTGTCTGCACCACCCCCAGCACTGGGATTATAGGCATGTGTCACAGTGCCTGGCTTTGTATGTGACTACTGGGGATCGAACACAAGGTCCTCATGCATGTGTAGCAAACACTCTTACCCACTGAGCCGGTTCCAGAGCCCTTGTTTCATGGATTTTAATCCCAGCTCTCCTGGTTTAGGGGAGGGCTGACTGGCAGTGCCAAGCAAGATTTGGTCATGACTGAGGAAGTGGAATTGGAAGTTACCATCACAGACAGCAGCCTTTCACCCCCTCCCAGTGCTCCTGTGTTTCCCCCTTAGGTGACACAGACTCTCCCTACCTCTCCTAGTCATGTTCTCCATCACACTGACATACCAAGGCCTGATTCAATCTGGAGGCAGTTGCTGGCAGATAGTCTTGATACCCAAGATTCCAAGGGCAGCTCCACCTCTCCCTGTGGAAGGGTCACTAGTTCTGGGTCTCCCTGCTGTGACAGGGAGAGGCAGCGATCCCCAGGTTTCTACCCATCCCTCAATCCCTAACCCTCCCCCCACCCCAGAGCCCATGAAGGTACCAGCAGTTGGGCAAGTTAAGGGTTATGCTGGCTTTGATGCCATCTTCAAACCGCAGGTAGCCCAGTGCTCCGACGGTGATGTACAGGGCGGTGACGATGAACATCCCCAAAGACAGGATGGCTGGGAAGTGGCGGGGATCCTTCATCTTGTTTTCCAGAGGCAGGACCTGCAAGGACATTACAACGTAAGGAGGAGGCAGAGAACACCACACACAACAGTAACTATAGCGACACAGAGAAGGGAAAGGCTTCCCTCTTCCAGGCACACACCCAAATGAATCAAAAACAGGAGCCTGAAAAGACTTTTATACACTCTGGTTCACAGCAGTTAGTGGTGTTCATAACAGTGAAAAGATGGATGACAAGTGTCCATCAGGAGAAAATGGATAAACAAAATGTGGTATATCCACACAATGAAATAGTATTCAGCCCTTAAAAAAGAAGGAAATTCTGACGTCTACTACTACATGAATGAGTCTTGAAGACACTGTGGTGAATGAAATACAGCAATCTCAAAATGACTGTGACAGCACAGTCAGCACAATTCCGCTTACAACCAGGACCTGGAGTAGTCAAGTTCACTGAGACAGAAAGCAGAAGTGCCAGAGGCAGAGGGGCTGGGGGATCGTTATTAGGCAAGTGCAGAGATTTTGCTTTGATGGTAAGGAGAGCTCTGGAGTTGGAGGATGGTTTCAGGCAATGTCAACGTGGTTAAAACTAAGTTTCATGGCGGGTACAGTTTGACACAAAGGAAAAAAAAGTGGGGCTGGAGAGCTGGCTCAGTGGTTAAGGGCATTTGCTGCTCTTGCAGAGGACCTGGGTTCAGTTCCAAGTACCCACATCAGGTGGCTCATAGCTGCCTATAAGTCCAGCTCCAGGGGATGGGAAACACCCTTCTGGCCTCCTTGGGTGCCGCACTCACACGGTGTACACTCAGACAGCAGACACATACACAGGAAAAAGCAAAATCTTAAAGAAAAAGGTGAAATAAAGGGAAAAGAAGAGGGAAGAGAGAAGGGAATGGCGGGAGGAGGCTGGTGGGATGAGAAGGGTTAGGAGAAAGCACGGCTTAGTGTGGCAAGACGAGTACGGGCATCGTGAGGCGGCGGTCCCCCGGGGTCCCACACGGCCGTCTGAACACCCTGGGGAGTCAGATCAGCCAGCACAGGCCCTGTCCCTGGACAGCGCAATTTTTTGTTTATCTTAGTTCTAAATTGGCAGCTTTGACTTGCACCTATGGATGGAATTGGTTGTGATATTTCCAGTCCTGTTCATGGCATGCACAGACCAACCCCCTCACCCCCCAGCTTCAGGCTAGCACTCTGAAACCTTAACACACAGGAGAACATGCACTGCTTGTCTTCCCATGCCTGGCTTCTTTCCCTTAACACAGTGTCCTCCAGTTCCATTCTTTTGCCGAAAATAGCAGGATTCCATTCTTCGTGACTAGATAGTGCTCTGTTGTGTACATAGGCCACATTCTATCTCTTTGTCTATTGAAGGGCATCAAGGCCGACTCCCTACCTTGGCTATTGTGTCACAGTAGACATGGGTGTGCAGATATGGAATGGAGGATGCCCTTGAACTCCTGATTCTCCTGCTTCTGGGGTGACAGGCATGCACCACCATGCCAAGTTTATGTGGTGCTGGGGATAGAACTCCAGGCTTTGTACATGCTGGGCAAGCACTCTACCAACTAAATTACATCCTCAGTCCCAAACCCATGGTAACTATATAGTTCTTTTCATTTTAAAACTACTGTATCTTTTAAAATATTTTATTTATTTATTAATTTTATTTTTATGTATATGCATGTATTGCGTGCATGTATGTAAGTGCATCTGTGTTGTCAGAAGAGGGTGTTGAATCCCCTGGAACTGGAGTTACAGTTGTTAGCTACCGTGTGGGTGCTGGGAACTAAGCCTGAGTCCTCTGCAAGAGCAACCAGTGCTCTTAATCACTGAGCCTTCTCTCCAGCCCCCAAGCTCCTATGTCTTTAATGAAAACTTTTAATTGAAATTATGCACCATTACTAGTCTTGATTTTCGAAAGATCAGGAAACCCATAAGTCTCCTGACGGCCTCTCTGTTGCAATCTCCTTTTCTCCTGCTGGTGATTACAGATCCAAGTGACACTGGAAGCCACCTTATCCCATGTATTCCCTGCAGGCCCAACATGAGACAAGAACCCACACCCACAGCTCCTTCCCAGAGAGCCTGTCACGGCACCAGAAGAAGGCCACATCCGTTCAACCCTTACCACGCCGATGCTTTCAAATGAAAAAATGGCCGTTCCAAAGAAGAGCGGATAGGTCTTCCAGTTTGCTACCAGTGGTAACTGGCTGGGGTCTGGAATTCCCTACAGGATAAAGAAATTCAGTGAGATTGTTGCTTGGTGGGCACAGCGTGAGCTGCCTTAAGAGAGAGGGGGCCTCTGAGAGGAGAGCTGGGCTCGAGAAAGGGAATGTCAACAAGTTCAGTAAACCTTTAGAAGGAAGCAAGCAGTGATAAACACTGACTTAACATGGCACCATACCAAAGAGGCAAAGGCCAGGGACATGGAGGTACTGCCTAACTGAAGAGCAGGGTTCACCAGAAGCCTCTGGAACATCTTATACACCACAGATTAGTGCCACACAATGGCACCTAAGAACATCCATGAATGGGGGGGCATGGATGTTGGAATTCACTGTGACTGTAGTTACAGAATATTCCAGAGAACCCATAGTTAATTAAATATGAAAGCTTCCTTTTCTTCTTCCTTGAGCTATAAAGGAAAGAGAGAGAAAGAGGAGTACTCTATACACCCGTGACCTAGAACATGAAAACAATTACAGACCATTTTTCATCATTGAATGTGCCTGGAAGAAGCCCCAGTATAAACCAGAAGTAGCGATTTCACTAGGAAATTCAATTTGTAGAACTGTTGTTTTGGAGACAGCGTCTTATGTATCTCAGGTTAGCTCGAACTTGTTAGGTAGCCAAGGATGACCCTGAATTTCTGGTGTTCCTGCCTCTACCCACTTCCCCCCAGTGCTGGAGTTATAGGTGTGTGCCGTTATGCCTGATTGTCTGCATTGCTTGGGATGGAACTGCAGGGCTTCATGAATCCAAACAAAAGCACTGTACCAACTGAGCTATCTTCCCAGCCCCAGCTTTGTAGAAATTCCCAATAACTCCTAAGGACTCTCTGTTGCTGCCCTAAAATGTTTGTCATTTATTATCTTCACTAAATTCCTGGATAATATAATTTTTATTTTATTTTCTCTTGTGGAGAGATGACTCAGCAGTTAAGAGCACTGGCTGCTCTTGCAGAGGACCTGAGTTCTGTTCCCAGCACCTGTACAGCAGCTGACAACTGATCCAGTTCCAGGGGATCTGATGCCCTCTTCTGACCTCCAGGGGTACTGCATGACATGGGTGCATGTACATACATGCAGGGAAAACTCCCATACACATAAATAAAAAAACAAAAAAAAACCCAAAAATAAAACTAAAAAGAGGAAAACACCTTGAAGCTATTGGATATGTTAACAACTGGGGATCAAATTTCTATAGTTTTTATGGTTTATATAAGCATTCCCCCGGAAGGCTCATGTATTGAAGGCTTAGTCCCCAGCTGGAAGATCCAGGCATTGCTAAGTGATCAGATTATGAGAACTTTGACCTAATTAATGGAGTCATTCACTGATAGATTCATAATTTGATGACATTATGGAAACTAAGGGTTGGGACCTGATTAAAGAAAGTAGGTGACTGGGGGTTTGTCTTTGAAGAGTATATTGTGTGCCAGGTCTCTTCCTGTCTCTTTGTTTCATGGTCTCTGTGAAGTAAATAACTTCCCTTCACTGTCTCTTTCCATGATGGTGTTGAACCCTTGCCCAGACCCACAGCAATGGAGACAGCCAAACATAGAAGGGAACCTCCAAAACCGTGAGCTCAAATGGATCCTTCCAGGGTGGGAGAGACAGCTTGGCAGTTACAAGCATTTGTTGCTCTTCCAGGATCCACGTTTAGTTCCTAGTGCCCATGTTAGGCAGCTCACAACTGCTTATAATTCCAGCTCCAGGGGATCAGATGCCCTCTTCTGGCCTCCACAGACACCTACACTTATGTGCGCATACCCATAACAGACATAAACATACTTGAAAATAAAATAAATCTTTAAAAAATATAGACCCTTCCCCCTTAAGCTGTTTTTGCCAGGCATTTTGTCACAGGTATAAATCCAGTGCACGGCTGTCCCCTGGAGGAGAGGATCACAGGGGACAGGTAACAAGGGGGCAGGGAGGAGAGCAGCTGTCATTCAACACAATGTCAAAGGTGGTGGTGTTAATGGCAAACAGACTTGCCTGTGAGTTTGGAGATTATTATTTATATGACTCTGTGACTAAATGTTAGGTTTTCCTCTCCAGTGCTCCCCAGGGGCCATTTTGGATGCTGGAATTGTGTCCAAGAAGATGTAAGAGGAAACTGCTTCCAACCTGTTCTTGTTTTCAGTCAACCATTCAAGGAATGGTTATATATTGTTCACCAATGGTCAGGCTCTTCTTGTAAACCATAGGTGTGTATGTATATACATGTGTCGGGTGTGCATATATGTGTGCAGATATGAGTGCGTGTGTGTGGATGCATGTGGAGGCCAGAGGCCAGTGTCAGGCATCTTCTTTCCTCGTTCCCCACCTCATTTTTTATATTTTACTTATTATTTTATGTGTATGAGAATATTGCCTGCATGTGTGTAAGTTCCCCATGTCATGCAATGCTCATGGAGTTCAGAAGAGGATGTTAGATCCCCTAGAACTGGAGTTATGAACAGTTGTTAGCTGCCATGTGGGTGCTAGGAACTGAACCCGGGTCCTCTGCAAGACCAGCCAATGCTCTTAACTGCTAAGCGAGCTCTCCAGCCCCCACCCCACCCCTTATATTTTGAGACAGGGTCTCTCTCACTGAAACTAGGGCCCATCCACTCAGCTAGACTGACTGTCAGGAATCCTCCCATCTCTGTTCTGTCCCCCACACCAATGTTTGGTTTACAAGGATGAGCCACAGCACCTGGCTTTTACGTGGGTGCTAGGGATGTAAACTCAGGTCCCCACGCTTGTGTTGCAGGCACTTTACCGACTAAGCCACATCTCCAACCTCCCAAGCACAGTATGACGTAAGAACAGGTGTCTGGAGAAACAGAGTGAATGAGGAGGATCGTACAAGGGTGATCTCGGGGAGTCGGTGCTGCGGTGAGGTGGGCTAGGGATGTAAACTCAGGTCCCCACGCTTGTGTTGCAGGCACTTTACCGACTAAGCCACATCTCCAACCTCCCAAGCACAGTATGACATAAGAACAGGTGTCTGGAGAAACAGAGCGAATGAAGAGGATCGTACGAGGGTGATCTCGGGGAGTCGGTGCTGTGGTGAGGTGGGTGAATTTCTTCTGTTTAATTTTTTACAGTTCTGCTTACATAGTTCAAAATTTTAAAAAATATATCATTTTTATTTTATGTGTATGAGTGTATTGTCTGCATACATGTAAATGCACCTGTGTCATGCAATGCCTATGCAGGCCAGAAAAGGATGTCAGATCCCCTGGAACCGGAGTTACGGACAGTTGTTAGCCACAGTGTGGGTGCGGGAAACCAAACCCAGTTCCTCAGCAGGAGCAGCCAGTGCTCCTAACTGCTGAGTCATCTCTATAGCCCCTGTTTATGTATTTAGTGAGTTAGTCATGTGCCATTTATGTATATATGTATGTATGTATGTATGTATGTATGTACTGATGTGCCATGGTGTGCATGTGGATGTCAGAGGGCAACTTGTGGGAGTTATTTCTCTTCTTCCACCATGTGGGTACCAGGGATCGAACTCAGGTCCTCAGGCTTGGCAGCAAGTGTCTTTACCTACTGAGCCATCTTGCCAGCTGATAAAACGTCTTACTTTAAACCCTCTGCACCACATTGTTTCAAAGGACGCTACCAAAACAACAAATCTCATGACAGATAATAGGATTTAGTGTGGCTACTTGCTGCCTTTGGTATCCTGGTATCCACTCCTCCTGGTATTGATTTATTTGTAATGAGTTTTCTTTTGTGACCTTGGGTGAACTAAAGATCACAGTCATGTGAGGGAGTTAAGGGGCTGGCCTGTGACTCAGGCCTAGCACTCAGAATCTCTCCCAGGAATCTGGATAGGTATTTCACGCCAGGCGACAGGACAACCATCTAGAAAATGGCGAAAATGAGTCCTGACGGTGGCGTCCCCAGCGACTGTCTTACCCCACCCGCTGCTCTGCGTTCTGGTATTTCCTGAGACCCACCTTTCAGTTTTCTCTGTCTTTTTGTAGGTAAGTTTATATCCTTCCTATGAACTTATGTTCGGCCTGAAGGTTTCCCAGAACCTCTTTGCTTCATGTGTAACCTGTCAATCTCACACTTTTCCGTAACCAGACTATAGCTATTCTCTCTTACTTTGAGCAACTGATACTGGCATTTTATTATTTATTTATTTATATTTTTATTTATTTTGGTCTTTTTGAAGCAGGGTCTCCCTGTAAGCCCCAGCTGTCCTGGAACTCACTATGTAGACCAGGCTGGCCTTGAACTCACAGAGATCTGCCTGCCTCTGCCACTGAAGTGCTGGGACTACAGGTGTGCGCCACCACGCCCGGAGATACCGGCATTTTAATGACAGCTTCTTTTTCTCACATGGATTGGATCATTCATGGCAGAACATTTAACATCCCCAAATCCTATGTAATAAAAACTATGACTATCCCTCAAACATTACAGACCTTTGTGATGGCCAGTTTTAGTTGTCAACTTGATAAACCTAGAATCACCTGGGAAGAGTCTCAGTGAAGAATGGTCTAGATCATGTTGGCCTGGGGGCGTGCCTGAAGGGATTGTTTTGACTGTCAGGACGGTCTGAGTGGAGAAAGTGAGCTGAGCACGAAACATGTGTGCGTGCATGTTCTCTGCCCTAACTGTGGTGTCATGTGACCAGCTGCTTTGACGTTCTTGCTATGATGGACTGTGTGCTCCATAGTTTTTTGTGACCCTAACACAAACTGGAGTCACCTTGGAAGAAGGGACCTCAGCTGAGGAATTTCCTCCATCAGAGTGGCCTGCGGGCCCGAGGCAGTGGGCCTGGGTCGTATGGGGAAGGCAGCTGAGCAAGGCAGAGGAGGCCAGCCAGAAACTAGCGTTCCTCCACAGTGTGCTTCGGGTCTGACCCAGGTTCCTGCCTTGAGCACCTTCCCTGGCTTCCCTGGGTGATGGACTACAGGCTGTAAGGTGAAATAAACCCTCTCCTGTTGGGAGCTATTAATCTATTATGTACATAAGCTGTGGCAGGCTTGTTTACTGAGTTTGTGTTTTGCACACCAGTACCTAATCTGCCAAATCAGGAGGAATGTTTGGTCTTTTGAGACAGGGTCTCCCTGTAGCCCCAGCTGTCCTGGAACTCACTTTGTAGACCAGGCTGGCCTTGAACTCACAGAGATCCGCCTGCCTCTGCCTCCCGAGTGCTGGGATTAAAGGCGTGAGCCATCACACCAGCTTCATTTTTGTTTTTAAGTATGTCTGAGTGCTGTGTCTGTGGTGTGTGTATGTGTGTGTGTGGTGTGTATGTGAGTGTGGGTGCCCTCAGAGTCCAGAAGGAGGGTATAGGATCCCCTGGAATTGAAGTTACAGGTGGTTGTGAGCTACCAACATGGATGCTAGGAACCAAACTCAGATCCTCTCCCAGAGCAGTACACACTCTTATCTGCTGAGCCATCTCTCCAGCTCCCCCAAGTTGCTTTTGTTCACGGTGTTTATCACAGCAACAGGTAAATCAAACTAGAACAGACTGGAGTCTGGACTTGTGAGTTAAAATAAACCCTTTCTCTCTCAATTTGCTTTTATCAGGGTATTTTATCACAGCAACAGAAATGAAACTAAAACATCCCCCATCCTACACAGTAAGTACACGCACAGGACATGTGCCTATTCCTGTATGGAGTAGTCTGCCCACAACCCTGACAGACACAGGTGATACAACTGTTCAGGCAACAGGATTCATGGCAAAATAATTCTTTGCAAGAAGAGTGTCTAAAGCCATTGCTGATTTCAGTATTCACAGGGAAGAATAAGATCTTGCAAAATGTTCACTTATGTATCTCTCACACAATATTGCGAATTACATGATGCACGTTCACTGTAGTTTATAAGATGTATTCACTATATTTTATAAAATTCACATATTTTATATGATGGCCATTGTGACATCTACTCTTTTACCCTGAAATTCTATTTTCACTTAAGCACACCTCATGGATATGTAAATATTAATCATTATCTCTTGATTTTTTAAAAAATTTTATGTGTATGAATGTATTGCCTGCATGTAGGTCAGTGCACCCGGGTTGTGCAATGCCCACGGAGGACAGAAGAGGCTGTTGGATCCCCTGGGACTGGCATTACGGACAGTTGTTAGCTGCCATGTGGGTGCTGGGATTTGAACCTGGGTCTTCTGCAAGAACACCAATGTTCTTAACCGCTGAATCATCTCTCCAGCTCTTGATTTTTAAAAATCTACTTTATGTGTGTGTTGCTAGAGATTGAACCCAGAGTCTTGTGCCTTCTAGGCAAACATTATACATCTCCAGCCTCCCATTTATGATTTATTTAGAGACAGGGTCGCATGTAACCCAGGCCACCTCCCAAATCTCTAGCTAGCTGAGGATGACCTTGAACTTCTGATTTACCTGCTTTCACCAAACCCAGTTTATCTGGCACGGGATCAAACCCAGGGCTTCGCGGGTGTTAGGCGATCACTCTACCAGCTGAGCTGAAGTCCCACCTCACCTACCTTTGCTTTATTTATTTGCTTTATGTGCTCTTCCTACAGTAGGAAACATTCCTGGAAGATTAGCCAGGCAGTCAAGGCCCTCCATAACTGAGCATGTCCACCCTTCAAGGCTCTTCCTCACACACGGCCAGCCACTGTCTTCTATATTCCACCTGCTTGGTTCTCCCGAGCCAGCCCTGCACGTTCCCGCCTGGATGTTTCCCCTTAGTCCTCTGCCTACCCTGGGGGCTACCACTTTTTCTGTAAGCTGTTGTTCCACGCCCAGCCCAGGTGCACCCCTAGAGGTGGACTTCCCTGACACGAGCTGCTTCACAATGATGGTTCTGACAACAGGGCATGTGTGTACAGGACACTCGAATATAATATTGATATTTACCTTCTATGTTTTAGAACATGCCCCACTTAGCTTGTAAACTCCTCAAGACAGTGCTTGTTTTGTTAATAAAAGCAGCTGATAAAAATGCAGATTGTAATGAACACAGACAATAAACAAAGGCTTTACAGATACTAGCTTGCTTTCTGAAAAGCATCTGGCAGGGTGTTCTAAGAGCCTCTGACCTACCTGGGCATTGCACTCAGGTGCACTTACATACATGCAGGCAACACACTCAGACACACAAAAAAATAAGAATAATTTTCGGCTTGTTTTGTTGAGGGTGGATTTGTAGCATAGTCTTAAGAACCTGAGGGCCCATGTCAGTGGCCTGGGATTTTAGTCTTGGATCAATGACCTGGTACCCATTGTGGGGTTTCTGACCTGAGCTCTCTCATCTGCAGACCTGCTCTGATCAGGTCTTGGAGTGAAAGAAGGTACAGACGACTCCCAGTCCCATCCCTGACATGAAATAAGCCAGCTTTGAATACTTCCTGGTTTTTCCTTCTCTCTAACCTTTTTATATGTCCAATTTCTAGCATTATCATTATTGTAATGAGAAACAGAGTTTTAAAGGATGGTTTTCCTGTTCACCATCAAAAATGGCCTTGGTTATTACCTGTACTATTTTGCCCATTTGTTTCAAGAAGAAT